ATCCGCTCAGGCCCCCGCGGTGCGCTGCGAGCTGCCCCTGGCTGCCAGCCGAGGGCTCCCCGCGGCGCTGCCTCTGGCGCGGAGAAGGGCTGGCTCTCGGGCTGTCCTGCAGCGAGGCGAACGGGGGCCGGGGTGACGCCGTGTGACCTAGACGCTCCGAGCTCCTCCTGCTCCCGGCTGCTCTGTGCTGCCTCTGGCGCGGAGAAGGGCTGGCTCTCGGGCTGTCCTGCAGCGAGGCGAACGGGGGCCGGGGTGACGCCGTGTGACCTAGACGCTCCGAGCTCCTCCTGCTCCCGGCTGCTCTGAACCCGACCAGCTGCGCGGCCGGGTCCTGCTGTGCGCTGCGCAGGGGCGCCCCGAGCACTCGCGGCTGCGGGCTCCAGCAGGCACAAGGTGCAGCGGGGACGTGGGGTTGGTTTGTCCGCCTTGGCTTTGCCCCTGAAGCGCTCCGTGACTGGATGCCACGCAGCTATGTCTCGCGAGCAGCCTCTGGCCGTTCAGCCGCGTCGGCATGAGGAAATGGATCGGGGGCAATGGTAAATTGCTTAATTTTGCGTCGGTAGGGTATTCTGCCTGGCCAAGTTCGAAAAACAAAAACGTCAAAGCCTTTCGCAAACAAGCTCCAACGAGATGTGGGTCTAAAGCAAAGGAAGCTCAAATCGAAAGCCCGAATTCAGACTTCTATCAGCTTTCAGTCCTTACCACAATCCCTTTGTGACTGAAGTTGGGAGTAAGTCACAAGTCACAACGCTTCACTTTCTAATAGTCAGACTACAGAGAACGGGGCTGTGGCCAGGACAGACATCTCAAGACTAGTTTTAAGGTCCTTGGAGCCAGGAACCGAGGAATTCCTTTTAACGCTGCTTTTACCTTGGTAATTTCTGCCGAACTTCTTTCTTTCACCACACAGGGATTTTAACTTCTCCTATAGAAACCTAAATACATAGAGATTGTATATTGGGAAAATGAAGTATTTATGCAGCGTTTTTGTAGCGTTTTTCCACAATAATGTGCACACTGTGACTTTAATTAGACTTAATTTTGGAGCTAGCGTTTTACCTGACAATACTAATAAGCTAAAAAGCTGTTTATAATTACAACGTTGTGTTGAACCATGAAAATCTTAATTTACAGTAGGATATGCATGTACAAGTATAGTGTTCTTTTGTGGTAAGCATCTCAGAAGTGCGCTTTGGCAGCTGATGGGCAAGACCACAGCTTCCTTAACAACACAGTCCATCCAGACTTGTTTTACACTCTGTTAGCACACAGGTAAAGATAAATCAAAACATTTCACTGGAGAAAAATACATGTCAAATAAAGAATATTAATAGGTGTATATTACTGATGCTGTGTATATATGACTTATCCTAAAATGAAGACATCGAGATTGGTGAAAGTTCAAATCGTTATTAAAATCGCTTTGTTCATCATCTCTAGATTTATTGCAGTCAACTTTTTAAATGTCAATCACTCAGCAATATATCAAATGTATTGTGCTTGTATTATTGGTAATATTAATCTGCTAGGCATAGGAGATGCACTGTGTATGAGTTATAGATGTTGACTCCTACATGTGATTCTGTGTGCATTTTGGAAAAAAGAATTGATGTGTCTATTTTCCATGATTATACTATTCATCATCACATTACATTAGTGGGAAGCAGGGGAGAATAAGGAAAGGATGTTATTTTAGGTAAAGCACAAGAATGGAGGTCAGGAAAATGGGATGAAATCCTGCCCCATAGAAGTCAGTGGCAATATTCCCATTGACTTCCAAATATTTCACCCCCACATTTTATTCTAGGCTCTGCCACACAAGTCTTGAGTGACTTTAGTCATAATGTCTCCCACAGAGTTAGTCGTAATGTTTCCAACAGACATGATACATCCTACTTCTCTGTTAATGAAGAGTTACACGTAGGGGCTGAGGTTTAATTTATTCATATTCCTTAGTGCCTTCCTAGAAAACAATAAACTAAAACTTTTCCCAGCTTTCAAGTACACTGTGGCTTGTTCAACATTCCCTGTGCAATCAGCCAGTTACTTCCAGCAAGGGGGAGTTTTGCATGCATGAGAGGAGAGACTAATCCAAGCACTGCAGATCAGCCGTGGGATGAGTGCCACTTCAGGGGGCTAGAAGACGAAAGAGCAATTGAATCCTACTAGGAAGGAACCCTGCCAAGCACATGTTGGATGCCCAGTGTTTGTTCTAGGCTGCAAGAGAATAACACCCCCTCCCACACACACACAATCTTACTCATCCCCTGGCTACCTGAGCTGTGCCTCCGTTTAGACCATGGTTTACTCCCGTTGGACACAACCCTGGTAATTACGACTTTTATTTTTATAAATAGCTAGGGGTCCTTAACTCAATTTTTGTTTTTCTTCATTGAAATCATTGCTCTGGGGAGGGGCTGGGAGGAGGGGTTCAGCCTGCAGGCTGCCCCGGGGAGAGAGGACAGCCCCAGCCCTCTCTCCCTGCAGTAGCTTGGGGCCAGGTGAGAAGCGCCTCTCCATGGGTGCTGCAGCTCCAGCAGGCACAGCCGAGGGAGGGGTGCATGTCCCTGGGCTGGGGCAGGTCCACGTTTGTCTGCCCCCTGCGCTGCCCAGCCAGAGTGAGGGATGCAGCAAACTGAGCACTTTCCCCTCCTCCCTGATGAAGGGGAACAGCCAGCAATGTTCCTGTATGAATCCCTCTCTCACTCCCTAAAGCGTTCCTTGGGGGGGAGGGAGGGAGCTCTGGGTTGGGCAGCCAGCCCCTTTCATCTGCTGGCATTTCT